AAGCTGCGCAGTGCTATCCTGGAGGGCATCGACATTATGATTTGCAGGAGCGTAAAGGCCATTATTGGACTACCTGCAAATACTTCCACAGCGATGTTCTATGCCCCCAGGAGATACCGAGGATTGGGATTAATCCGCTGCCAATGGGAGGCTCCTCTTCAACATTGGTCCATTGCTCAGCGACTGTCCAATGTACCAGATGCCCTTTTTCAGTCTACCTTCGATTATTCGGCTGAAATTACTGAATGTGCCGAGAGATTGGGGGTTGATCAGGGTCATCGAAATGTGAAAACTCTACGGCAGTCGCTAGGAGAAAATGCATTTGAGGAATGGGCCAACTGCAGGTGGCAGGGTATTGGTGTTCGCCATTTTAAAGAGACCCCGAAAGCGAATAGATGCATCTATGAAAAGCAAGTACTTTCTGGGTCTGAATGGTCGAATGCCCTAAAACTAAACATTAATTATGTACCCCTGCGTGGAGTCCCAGGAGTCAGCGGACAGGTCGGAGAAGTTGGGTCCCTCTGCCGTAAATGCGGCAGAGAGTCTGAAACACCATCCCATGTGCTGGGAAAATGCAACAACAACTCCCTCCTCATAACACGTCGTCACCACCGGGTCAAGTTCGAGTTGATGAGGCTCCTTAGGGAAAGGAAATTCACCTGCTTTGACGAGGTATATTGCATCGATAGTGAAGGCTCTACGAGATACGCGGATATCGTCGCATTTCCCAAGACAGGAAGGACAGCGCTGATCTTGGATCCAACTGTCCGCTTTGAGAGCAATGACCTCGATCAGGCGGGTGAAGTGGAAAGGGAAAAGAAGAACACATACGATAAATGTATCCCTTTCCTAAAATATAAATTCCATGAGACCTTCGGAGAGAGAGAGAGTTCACCGTGAGAGGCCTCTGGTTTGGGTCTCACGGAACAATCCCAAAAAGAACAAGGAGCTTCCTCGAGGAACTAGGTGTCGACATTAAGGACGTAGCGAGGTTGGCTGAAAGTATAGTCATCGATTCTCTGGGAATCATTCACCACCACGTGCATGGCTAGCCCGAGAGTTTTAATTTACGTATTCATTTATTTATTTAATGAATAATTGAAAACAATAGAGATAAAGAGAGAGAAATGAGGGAAAGGGAAACTAAATGTTAAAAAAAAAAAAAAAAAGCATAAACAATGAAAGGAAGGAAAAAGGAAAAAAAAATGGAAAAAAATAATAAAAATGTATATATATATATATATATATATATATATATATATATATATATATATATATATATATATATATATATATTACTAATATTAACTAAGACTTCTGTATATTTATATATAAGTTCATATATTGTCCTAAGGATAGAAGAGTATGCTGTGTGTATAGCAACCCAATATAATTGAGCAGCAATCCTTTATATTTTATGAAAATAAAGTTTTTCTCCTTATTGAGGTAAGTTGTTTTGCTTAGGATTTCTTGGGGATTGGGTAGGAGGCAGTCCAGGTGGCTTGTTGGATTGAGGTAGTGAAGGAATTGACAGCGTTGTCAAGTTCGCCTCGAGTTTTGAGGGATATATTAAGATGTATTTTGTCGGAAAGGATTTGGCGGAATAGGTTCCAATTAACGGGTCCTCTTATGAATGACGGTGGAGAAAGTTTGAGTACAGGTTCTAGGGAAACATTAAGAATTAATGGACTATGGTCTAAGGAAAGGTTCGTTTAGGTGTGTAATGGAACAATGGAGGGGACTTAAGTCGCTGTGGATGAAGAAATCTAGGATACCAGAATTACGGTTAGGATCTGTGGGCCAGTAGGGAGTAAAGTTGGGGGAAAGAAGGTGGAAACGTTGTGGATTGAGTGCAGACAGCAATGTTCGGCCACGAGAATTAGTGGTTCTTGAACCCCATTACTGGTGTTTGACATTTAAGTCTGCACCCAAGAACAAGTGACGTCCTAAGAAGTCGAGGAGAGAACTGAATTGGGCATTGGATATGGATCGGTTAGGAGGGCAATATATTGATGCAAGCGTGACCGGAAAGGAGAAGGTTTTTGATTACGATAGCGGTGGATTGTAGGATATCTTGTGTAGGTAAAGGGAGTATGGGATGGGAGAGAGATTGATGTTAAATGACCTCATTACCGGCATGTGCTCTTCCGTCAGATTGCCCAATGCGATATGTCAAGTATTGTGGTATTTTAAAGAGCTCTTTATTTGTTAGTCGAATTTCAGTAATTAGTACCACGTCAATGTTTCTGTCCAGTAATAAAGCAGATAGTTCGTATGTTTCTAACACCATTCGCATTGAAAAGGAGAATGGATCTAGGTTTATTGGAAGTCATTTAAGGATTTTTGGGAGGAGGGATAAAATGTGATACAAGATTGGTGAGAAGGGATATCAAAGGAGTAATAAGAGATCTGAATTCGGAGAGTAAAGATGTAAGTAAACTTGTGAGATCTGTGGTATTTGATGGAGGAGGAATGTGAGGAATTTGGTGTTGATAGAATTGTTGAGGATTAGATGAAATTTGAGTAATAGGATGCTGAGTGTGGGGTTGAGGATCTTGAGGTGTATATTGTTGTTGCGGCAGGGTCTTACAATTAGATATTTCATTCTTACCTCCTAGTAGGTGTACAAAAGACATAGTCGGATCTATGATCTTGAAAGGTTCTCTTCTTGATCTGGAAGATGGAACGGGTATTCTAATATCTTCATTTGATATTTTTGTATATCTGGCAGCCTTTCTAGTTTCACATCGTCACAAGAGACAACTGAAGAATCTCCATTTTTAACCCCTATCAGATGCTTCAGAATGAGAGAAAAGTGATGGAGTCCGCTTCGATACTGAAAGACCCCCGCCCACAACCTATATTCGTTAAAAACATAAAAAAAAATCATCAGTTACTATGTTCTTAAAAAATCGTGAAATACCAGACCGAAAGCGGATTTCCATACGTATCAATTACGGCAACAGCGGGCTTTAAGGGTAGTTGTAAGAAACCTACACATCTCAACACCAACTGAAGCAATAGAAGAAGAACTGAAAATTTTATGTTCCTCTCGCACAATCCCTATCCAGCACCACCCATCTCTACAATACCCCTGGAAGGTTGAAGCGACAGTGGCCCAGAGACCTTTTGTGAATATAAGTATACATTGGAGTTTTGGCAATGACCAGATTCTCCACTCAAGCCATGTATCTGTGATTATGCCTCTAATGGTCCTTAATTCCAGTAATGCGGCTGATTTAGTGGCGCTGGGATCTTCTAGAGTCCTGCATTTCCTTCTACGAGTGGGGAGAAAGGCTTGGCTGGGTGATTTTGGTTGAATGATTTTTTTTTTATTGATTTTTTTTAGATATTGTATAGAAGCGTGTGTTTATCTGAGTAGTTGTTTTTATTACTTTAGTTTCTTTTTGTTTGGTTTAGTTTATATACATTTACTTTAAGTATTATTGTTTTTTATGTACTATTTATTTTTATTTATTGTTGATAGAGCGTGAATGTGCTCTCTGAACACTATTATAAATGTCCTTATTTGTAACAGATTGTAATATATCTCAATAAATATAATTTAAAAAAAAAGTTTATCCGTTGTGAAAGGTAAATTGTACGGTTTAGTATTAAGACTTAAAATCAAGAGAGCACTGAATTTGATGGCGTGACAATGGGTTTTTAGAAATACTGAAAATGTACTATCCAAAGGCACCACCGGCTATTTCCTTGTGTTCGGTAAGAGTTTTATCATTGTAAATTATCGAACGATGATTTTTTTTTATTGGTCTAACCTTATTAGCTCTTATTTTATTCCAAAGAATTTTCGTAGAAATAGATGTTGAAATTGAAGTAATAAATTTTGGCTTTATGGTAACTGATATGGTTACTTAAAGAGGGTCGAGTTTTTAAAAACTTTTAAGCTTTGTGTCGTTTTGTTAGAGCATTGTGACACTCAGGGGACCATCAAGGAACCGTTTTTTAGTATTTGGAAGATCCTGTTTCAGAGAAGCAATCTGGGTAATCATTGAAGCAAGTTTTCAAGATTTTCTGCGCATGGCGTGGGAATTTGAAAATGTTTTAAGCGATCTTTACGGTCTTGTATATATTTTTACCAATTGGCCTTGTCTATCCTCCATTTCCCAATAGATTGTGGGAAGAAAGGATAGATTTGCAGAGAAAGTAAGTGATGTAGATGATCACTGCCTAGGTCTATAGGATAGTGCGAAATGAACGAAAGGCTAAGCAGAGGTCCAAGTTTAGTGAGCTCGGCTATAGAAACAATGCTCACAGAGGCTCCACAGTACGAGCGACAAAACCATCTATTATGGGATCTATTATTTTCGCCCTTGCATCAGTTCGATGATTAAAACTCCATGTCGGACTATGTAGATAAACAGAACAAATTTTAAATTGAATTCGAAGATGGATGATAGTAGCTGTTGCTTCTAGTTTGGTGGTTAAATTGATCTCAGTACAGCTGATGCCTTTCTTGATGGCTAGAGAGACTCCCCCGCTAGCACGATTAGTGCGACAGACAGTTATATAAAGATATTAGAATTCCTTCATTGGTTTTTAAAGGGGTCTGTTGAAGTAACAAAACTGAGGGATTATAATTAGAAATTAATAACTTTAAGTCATCATAGTGACGGCATATACTATCACAGTTCCAATTTAAGATTATCATATGTTTTAATGTGATAAAATGTAACCTATTAATAGAATGTTTGGAAAGTTTATTTTTGGGTGTTACTACTAGCAGATACTACTATATTTATGTGGGGGTTTTTATTTCTTTTTTTTAATAAAGCTTTTTTGTTCTTTTTTTAATAGATCTTTTTCATTATTTCTTAGACTATGCTGTATAAAATACTGTTCGGTTTGTCTTAAATAACTTATTTAATAACACACTAAGATTTGTATGTACTTCTGCAAATATTAAGGTTATCAATACATGCTTGATTTTTACCACAAATCTGTTTTCCATATTTTAATTGAAATAATATTTATTTCAGGAACTAGCGGAGCGGGGTGTCGCCTTAAAAGTAGCCGTAGTTGATATATCATCGAAAGGATCGCTAGAAACTATACCACGTAGCCTCCTTTGGAATGCGCTTAAGGCAATAAATGGCAACGGTATGTTATCTGAAAAATTTATATTTAATATAATTTTAATATTGATTCTAAAGGAAATAAATATGAGTTTCAAAAAATATTTTTATGAAAGACGTTAAAATTTATTATAATTTATTAGTAGCTTGAACATCATGTGTAATTTGAGAATGGTCTTAAATTGAACTTTCTTTTATTTAAATAAATATTTATTTATTGAGTAATATAATATTCTGTCAATATCCTACCAAACCGAATATATTCGTATTACGAGAATATAGTAGGTGACCACCAAAGTGGATTCAGAAAAGGAGGAGCATGCTAGAGCACACCAGATCTTCACCCTAAAATAAGTAATCGAAAAATGATGGAAAGTAGTTCAGTACATCCACGACCTATTTGTCGATTTAAAAGTAGCCTATGATTCTGTGGAGAGGAGCTTTGAAAATCATGACTGAACTGGGAGTTCTCGGTAAGGGGATGAGATTGACAAAGTAAAGCGTGTACAAATTACCCCAAAATGTAGAGTTCCGATACAAGGAGAATTATCTTAAGCCTTCAAAGTTCGAACGGGCTTACGGCAGGGAGATGGACTATCACCGATGTAGTTCAACTTAGCCCTGGAGAAGGTAGTAAGAACCTCACAGGAAAATGGATGGATCCACGTCGGAATGAATCATAAAATCCTTGGATATGCAGATAATATAGCTGTCTTGGAGGTAATCAACAGGACATTGAGGAACTCGCTAAGACTGTGATAAGAGAGGAAGAGCAGATCGGTCTGCAATTATATGAAGACAAAACAAAATATATAATAATAAGCCGAAAATTCTACCCCAATAACAGGATCTGCGTAGAAGGAATATCATTCCCGAGAGTAGAAAAATTCAAATACCTCGGCTCCACAATAACCTCAATGAATGACCAACGGGCAGAAATAGACCATCGTTAAACTAGCGCAAACAGAGCTTTCTCCTCTCTTTCAAAGATATTGAAATCCCGAAAAATCTCAAATTAAGGGTGTACAATGCTATGATAAAGCCAGTTATAATACATCACTGTGAGTTTTCGCTCGTTTTAAAACGTCCCACACAATTATTAAGTCATGCCCCGGCATCAAATTCGTAATTATATGAATAATGATCCGAGAGTCACGTCCCGTGAGTTCCTTGAGATCAAGGAGGGTCTCCCCCAACGTTTGACATATGCCAACTGTTCCACACAACCGCGTCTTTCTCGTTCCGTCTAGATTTCCAGTTTTGCCGCCATCCATCAACTGATAAAGGAATTCGTGCTTCCTATGTCGATTAGAAATTTTATGTCGGATTCTGTCAGTCTCGCCACGGGCAACCCGTCCTGTACTCGCGCTGTTATTAATAATTAAACCCCCCGGTTGGTTTCCCCCCTCTATTTTATTTTCCCATATATATACATATATATATATATATATATATGTGTGTGTGTGTGTGTGTGTGTGTGTTTTCTTCTTCCGATATTTTAATTTTAATAAGATTTGTAAATATTTAATTAGTGAATGACCACACGGGCATTTTTTCTGCCTCTATAATTTGTCCTATAGGGACAGCAGTCCCAGGATAATAAAAAATATTTTCATTTTTCATTTCAACATTTGTTTATCTTAAAATATTTACTTTTAGTAAATTTCTTGTGTTTAAAGTATTTGCTTCTTTTTAAAGTCACTGTAGATTCTAGTTTTTAAGTCCGGGTCAAGAGTGCGAGCTAAGTAGTTTTGTCAACGAAAAATAACAAGCATTCCCCGCCTTCAGCCTAACCTTAATCTCCTCTTCAATTTCGTTTTTTCTTGTTATCATAAGCCCTAGATACCTAACCTTCTCTTCTATATCGATATCACCGGCTATATCACCATGTTTCATGCAGCTATCCATATATTTTGTCTTATCCGTGTTTTTTTTCGAGCTCTAGTTCTTTACGGGCTTTCATTAACGTTGTCGTATTTAGTTTTATAGTTTCCGTCTCTTCACTTAACAGGGCCAAATCATTCGAATTGCCAAGTACGGGTGTTGTCCCACCCAGATCTAACCCTTTTTTGGTACGCATTAACTCCCTAATGGCATGTTATAATGTCAAATTGAACAGGACAGGCAAAAGGGAATCACCTTGTTTTAAATCCGAACGAACCTCAAATTATTCGGATTAGTTATTAACGATTCAAATTTTATTGATTGTTTCCGTCAAGCACAGTATGACCAGATTTACTAATTTTTTTGGAATCCCCTGCTTGATTAGAATATTATACATTGACATAGTTTACTGGCGTTCAATAGAATCGTAAGACGTTTTGAAAATTGATATACAGCTGGTGAACAACACCGTTGTACTCTAATTTTTTCTCCCATATTTGCCGTAAAGAAAATATTTGATCAATAGTCGAACGGTTCCTTCTAAATCCGCTGCCGTAAAGAAAATATTTGATCAATAGTCGAACGGTTCCTTCTAAATCCGCTGCCGTAAAGAAAATATTTGATCAATAGTCGAACGGTTCCTTCTAAATCCGCATTGGTAGTCTTTGAATTTCCTCGGCGTATTCTGTGATTCCACGAATTATTATTAAAGTGAATATTTGAAAACATACCGGAAGTAGTGGAATTCCTCGATATCGTTACAATCCGCCCCTTTTTGTGAAGAATCTTTCCATTCTTCAGATAATTTCTCATTCTCCCAGATCTTTTTAAGCAACAAATATATTTTAGGAACTCCAGCTTCCCCGCTTGTCTTTATTAATTCACTAGTAATATTATCGGTTCCCGCTATTTTATAAGATTGTAATTTTCCGATAGCTACTTCAAATTTCTCTTTACTCGGTTCTTCTATTAACGGTTCAGCACTCTGGTACTCAGAAGGAAGACACAGGTCATAATTTCCCATATTTAAAATACTATCAAAGTGGTTCTTAAACTTATTTAATATGTCAACCGGATCGGTCAGAATATTGTTATTTTCAACCCTAATTCCAGACGTGTCGAGCCCTATTTGATTGGTTTATACTTAACTTATAAACATACACGTGATCTGTTTATACTTTTGTACATGTCTCTTACTTTATTTTCGATTCTATTAGTTTCTATTTCTATTATTGTATTATTAAGATACCCCTTCTTTATATTTTTGAGCAATTTTTTTTTTCATTCTTTGAGGTTCGGAAGTATTCGAGATTTTCATTGCTAGGATTTTTTAGGACTTTTAATTTGGCAGCTTTTCTCTTAATAATCTTTAAAAAATCGTCATCAAACCACGGTTTGTTCTTTTTCTTTTCCTTTTTCTCAAGACACGAGTTACAGACTGCTTTATTGTTATTAGTTATCCCTGTTCATAACTTGTCTATATCATCCCGGTCCTCGTCAGAAGTTTCTGAAACTTCAATCCTATTCTTATCATCAAGCTCGAATTGAGTTCTAATTTATGGATTTTAAATTTTTCCAAATTAAAATTCTCGATATCGAAACTATTTTCTTTTCCCTTTTAAAGGGATAAGACCGTAAAATAGTTATACTGCTTTGCTAGGTATGTTGTATCAAGACATGATCGGTATATGGAATAGGCAAATTATTTTTAAAAAACCGTTTAACTGTTCAGCGTATAGTGGAGAGGTACAAAAAGGAAAAACGGTTTACCAGGAAAAAAGCTAAAACCACAAGGAACATTTTAATTAATTAGAATGATCATCAGAGAAATAAAACAAAACTCACACTTGAGTGCACCCAAAATTGCTACGAAAATAACCAAACGCTTAGTTAAACCAGTAAGCTCACTAAAAGTGCGGTGTGTGCTAAGAAAAAATATTGTTCTTGGAAGAGTAGCGCGAAAGAAACATTTTATCAGCAAAACAAATCAAAAAGTTAGGGTACAATCCAGGAATAAATATTTATTGATGGACCCCTGGTTTTGGAAAACGGTTATATCTGTTGATATAAGAAATTGAATATTTTTTGTTCCATTGGACGTTCCTACGGGTGAAGAAAATCAGAGGAAGAGCTTGCAAAAACAATTTACGCCTAATTGTGAAATTTGGGCTGGCAGTGTTATGTTGTGGGGGTGTATGGCGGCTTCTGGTTCAGAAAATCTTCACTTTATAGATTGTATAATGAATAGACAAGTTTACCCAAACATTTTTTACAACAGTACAGAACAAAAGTACAGAAAAGCTGGGGCTAAAAAAAAAAAATTGGTTTTATGAGGATAATAACCCCAAGCCCTCTGCCTTGTTAGTTAAGGAATGGCTATTTTTTAACTGCCTCTATGTCATTCACAAAAATTCACCACAGTCACCAGATCTTAATGTGATACAACATCTGTGGGTAGAAATAAGAAAACGTGAAATTTCTAGCAAAGAAGATTTAAAATAGTACTCTCGAAGAACAAATCAGGCTAATCCCTGAAATTACCAAAAAATTGATCGACTCTATTACAAATAAACCAAAAGAAGTGGCAAAAAGTAATGGCTTTCCTACAAGGTATTGGAATAAATTTATAATATTTAAAAGATAATAAGAAGTGAGGTGTACCATTTTGACTTATCCAATTTCGGTTTGTTAGGTTTTTAATGGTTTTATTTGTTCACTGTAACCATGTAAGTATTTTTTAAATTTTTCTACAGGGTGTATCAATTTCACTGTGAGCCATTCCATACATATATACATATGCATAGATAGATAGATATGCACACGCACACATACACACACACGTTGGTATATAAAATATATTTATTCTGCTTTAGATTCAAACGATTTTTCGGAAAGTGATATATTTGGTGATCTAGAAGTGCAAGACGATATCGGTTTGGAATTAATATGTGAAGCTGCCGGGATCGATTACTACCAAGGATCTGTAAAATTCCTCTCAGCAGATGTCATCGCCGTAAGTAAAGATGTTACATATTTCTGGTAAGAGTAACTAGCTATAATTTATTTATTTATTACTAAAACAATTTAAAAAAAATTAAAACAAGCAAGTAGCTGTAAATGAGATATAAACTGATTATGTTACAAAATGGTATTGGTGTTACAAACGATTATATATTGTAGCCCGTTTTACATATTCCGTTTTCTTAAATTATTAACATCCGCTTATAACTCCATGAATGGCATCATCTTATTGTAACCTACTATTTTTTTATTTACGAAAATTTTTAGAAATAGGGCGTTTTCTCGGTAAATTGATTAATTTAATGCGAGTTTACTAAAAACTCATAAATACCAATTTGCTTTCCACTTGAATCGTAAGATAATTTGATCAAAAAATCGAAAAAAAAAAAGGTGGCCTACAAAAATATTGGTCCGTTTGGCGTATTTGACCTAGTTATTTTAACATGTTTAGGGTGGAGGTCACACCAAACGGACCATTTTTTGTAGCCCACCTTTTGTTCTCGATTATGTTATAGCAAATAGGTGTCCATCACTTTTTAGTACCTAATTAAATATACAGATTTTGCTTTTCCACAGATTATAGAAGCCCCAATTTGATAGAAAATAACTTTATTCTGCGACAAAGTCTCTTTAGAATAACAAAATAGTACAAACTTAAAATATTACATCTAAATAAAAACCAAAATTTTGAGAATTTTCATAAATAAAAACGCTGTAGGTTATGCAACATTAGTTTAGTCAGTTTTATTCTCTCATTTTTTTAAACTTTGCTTATTGTAATTGCCTATTGCTTTAATTATGGGGTTTACTGATGTATTTCGGCCTGGGTTATATGAATTGCTAAATTGTCTGGAATTCCAGATCTTTTAACATTTTGGTTATTCTTGTGTATGTGGGATAATTTTTTATGATTCTCATTTACAGATTTTGTACCCTTTCTAATTTTTTATAGTTTTTGTCCTATGTATAACTCCACACTCGACAAGAATATGTTATTGAAGGGCGTATTACTGGTTTATATAAAATAATTTTATATTTTTTATAAAACATATAAGTATGGAGAGAGCCATTGTACTGATGAGTTGTTTTGTTACTCGTTGGCATTTGGGTTCATTATCAGAAAGTAATAATGAATAAGTAGTAATTTCATTAACTATGATTTCATACCTATTTCGACAGAAAAAAAGTTGAAAATACTATCCTAAATTATACCTAAGAGCAGACAAATGTGTTAATGTGATACGTAAACATTAAGACAATCAGGATATTTAACGAAGAATAAATTTATTTTAGATTGGATTGTATATTTTATGTTACAGGTGTCAGCTAATTGCGATGACGTCGAAACTAGTTCTAGTGATGATGAGCACAGTGAACCTCAAGAAGCAAATATTGTTGGCATGTCGTTTATAATATGCTGTGGATGCCAACCTCTAATTCCAGAATTTCCGGGATACGAACACTGTATAAGTTTAGATACCTTCTTACATACTCGAGAGATTCCGGAAAGAGCCGTAATTATTGGTGATTCACCGGAGGTCGTAGAAACGGCTCATCTGATTGCGAAGTGCGGAGGAGGGGTCACTGTGTTGGTAAGTTTTGAAGTTGGTAAGAAACCTATTTTATAAATTGAATTAAATATTATTGAATTAAAAAAGTTTATAATACGTTAGTATTGTTCTCGACACTGCATTAATCGATGATAAATCTCAATATCGAATAAAGTTGGAATTAAATAATATTTCTCTTAATTGTGATTGAGTAATTCAATGATGAAAAATTATTTTTCGTGATCAGACATTGTAGGCAGGTTTGTTCTCCAACCAGTCTCCTTTGTTGAAAATTACTCAAGACCTACATTTCTCCATAGACAAATAGAAAATCACTACTCTGGTCCTCTTTGATTTCTCAAAAGCATTCAATTCAGTCAATCAAATCAATGTTTAATCCTCTTTTCCAAACTCCAAAACCGTAGTAGGTAATGGTGCTCTTAAGTGATTCCATTCCTTCTTGTATCAAAGATCTCAAACATTCATCATACATAATAAAACTCCTTACTGCTCTCTCTTACTAACCCGCTGTGTTCCCCCTGTTATCCCCTTCCATACCTCAATGGCCTACCCATCCGTTTCCATACTTCCGTTAGAAATCTTGGGGAATGTTTGATCAATAACGTTGTCCTAGGATAATTATATTTCTCAAATAATCCGAAAATCCATTGCTACCCTCAAACAGTTCCTAAGATTCCGTGATTTCATGTCCCTTAAAATTCGTCAGCTCCTAGTTTCCTCACTCATTTTCCTTCATTTCGATTATCACTGCCTAGTACACGGTGGATTGTCTGGTGGGCTTGAGACCAGATTAAAGAGGCTAATGAATTGTTTCATTAGATTTATTTTTGGAATCCCCAGGCGCTCCCACTTCTCCAGCTGTTATGTCGAGTTGAAGTGACTCTATCCAGTCTTCCGGCAGCAATACTTCGAAGGTTTTTTCCTTTTTCGAACCTTTTTAACCAAAAAAATCCTCTCACCTTCTCGATTTGTTTAATCCTTGTTCCTCTGTCCATTCGTTCAACATGAGATCTCAGCCCTCAAACCTGTTTATTCCTTCTCATCGAACTATATCCTTTAAACAATCCTTTTTCATACGTTCTTCCTTGTTATGAAATTCCCAACCAACCTCCATACGCAAATTCTCATCCTTGATATCATTTAAAAATAATTTATTTATCTATCTACTCAGCAATCAATCTTCCGAATATGTGTAAAATAATGTTCACGTTTTTCAGAACTGTCAGTCGCATTTAATGTTATCCTACAGATAATTATATACCTATCTCCAGTGTAATCCAAGCATTGAACTATAGTTGCTTGGTGTTTACTTGGTACTTAATGTGTAATAAATTCCAAAAAACCCCAAAGACGCTTCCAGCAAAGTAGGTGAAATAAATTTTGGTCTTGAAAAACAATTCGGATTAATTTTTAGTGTCCACTCAAACTCTTAAATACGAGTATGTTTTGAGATAAAAAATATATATTTTTGGACTTAATTATATAAGATTTTTTCATGCAGTTCACTAAAATTCCTATAAAGTTAATATAATTCCTCAGGATTTTATTCTAAGTCAACATTCATATAACCGTTGGAAAGCTAAATTATTGCTCTTCAAAGCCATATCAATAACTTTTAGAGTTTACGTCTTTATTAGGAATAAATAAAGAAAAACTTCCGAAACGTTTTTATTTTCATCTCCAAGCCATATTGCTGGTGCCCACGGGCGGATCTACGGGGGGGGGGGGCTTTCGGGCTGAAGCCCCTCCCCCAAATGGTAAAACATAACCATGTTTTATGGAAAAACAATTTTAAAAATACCTCACAAAGTATTATTGTTCGGTTAATTACATTTAAAAGGACTTAAGAATCGCTTAAACACCATTTCATATAGGTAGTTAGTTTCTTTCTGTTTTTCCAAAGTAATTACCGTAATTTTTATGAAAAAAAAGCTTCCGGGCTGAAGCCCTCCCAAAATTAAATCCTGGATCTGCTAGTGCTGGTGCCTGGTACCATTTCATGTATATTATAGGGCTCTAAATTAGTGCTAATTTTTTTGTGAGTAAGTGGGGCCATGTGGAAAAAAAAAATCGAAAGCTAGACATAAACTTTGATTAAAAGATTTTCATTTTTCAATAAAAAAATCGTATTACAGAGTTTTTCGAATTTCTAAATACAAATATCAACCTTATTTCTCCTTAAAAAAATATTTGAACCCACTCTTTAGGTCATTACTAATTGTATCAATGTTGTACATTGATACAATATACTAATTGATGATATACTGATTGTATCATACTATATTATTACTATTTATTATTACCATCGCTGACTCCTAGTGGAGCATGGGGCATCTGCAAGTGCGTTTCATTCCGCTCTTTTTGCAATATTTTTTGCTTCTGGCCAAGTCTTTCCCCCCGGCTCAGAACATTATATACAGATTTAATGTTTCCCTTGAACTTGAAGAAATGGAATTTCTTTTCGTTTCTTTAGAATTCCATTAAAGTGTTTATTTTCCGGGGGGTACCATCTGCTTTCCTTAAAGTTTGTCCAATCCATTTCCCTTATTTTGAAGTGGATAGGAAGCCGTTCAGTAGTCCTCCAGAGCTCTTCGTTACAAATCCTCTCAGGCCACCAGATCCCCAGGGTTATTCACAAGCAGCGGTTGATGAAGGTCTGAAGGGTTGAATAACGGTTTCAGCCACCTTTGTTTCACACTAGTCATAATCCTAATTGAGTTCAACAGCAGTCCCTCATGGATGACTCGGCATTCATATCCATCATACGAGCTCCTAACAAGATTTCTTATCATTATAGGAATGCCATCCATACCATGATGTCCTGGTTTATTAGTTATGGTTTGTATGAATCGAAGGCTTTATCAAAATTGATAAATGCCATGTATAATGCGCTTTGCCAATGCTCCAGAATAATTCTCAGCGTTTTTATTACACCGGTGCGGCTTTTCCCTACCTGCTCCTTGCTTATTCGTGTTTCCAGAGAAATTTTAATCCTTCTGTTCAGCACTTTGGTCACGACAGAAAGAAGTGTGATTCAACACCAGTTCGTACACTCATATGTGTCACCTTTCTTCTGAATCTTCATAATTAACCCATTCTTCGAATAAGCCGGTACGTTTTCCTCGTCTTATCTCTTCTTGAGAGGGGTTCAATAATTTGGGTAAATGTTTAAGCATCAACTATCAAGATCTCCGCTGGTATGCCATCAATTCAAGGGGCCTTTTCTTTCTTAATTTCGCCGAGGGCCGTTATGGTTTCATTGAGTCTCGGCGGGGATTCGTCAACGCTAAGGACCTCAAGAGCCAGCATACGAAACTAGGTTTTCTCGACTTCTCCATTGCCGAGTTTAACACCACCAAAAACTATTCTTCCTGACTAATTATCTTCTTTTTTTTCCTATCTCTTCTTTTAGGCTATATGGGGGTTTTACCGGGCCAGAGGGGTGAGAGCGGGGGATTTAAAATACTCCCCAAGTCACCGGGATGCGAACTTGAATATTTTATTGTCTCCAAATTTGGATATCTGGTTGCCAGGCAACGCGCGGTGCTGTGCACAACATGTTAGCCCTTTCAGCCACTCCACCCTCTTGAGGTAAGTGGGTGCCATTTTTGCTATTAATTTTTTGGGTGTTTTGGAAACCTTTCTTCGAAAGAGTTTTCGCGATGACGTCTCTTTTGCGTCCCCCATGCGTGCTACTACCTCTGCACTTCGTACATGGTCGTTGACCCATTGTCGGTGATCTCGCCGAACGTTTCATTTCCAGTTAATTTCAGACTTGATATTTCTGTTGCGCATTGGTTTTCTGCTGTCTGGTCTTGCTTTGACCTGCTTAAGCTGTTTTATTCTTTTTAAATCCTTCCAATTTTCATCGGTCATTTGTTCTTCGCAAGGGGGTTTTCATGGCCAAGACTAGATTAGCTCACATTCAAGATGCTTGGTTAGATGGTCTTTACAAGGTATTTATTAATTCTATAAATTGTGATTAATCATTAGCAGATATTATTTGAGCAAAATATATTTATTTTTCGATTGCAATGACAATTAATTCAATATAAATAAATTTAACAGTTGTAATGTCTACTATAAAGCTATAAACATGGATAGATCTCAAAAGAGATTCAGAAGGTAGATTGACAAAAAAAATTATATTTTTCGACTGCAACGAAAATTCTTATTTAAGTGTTTTCAGAGGTGTATAAAACCAATATCATCATTGTTTATCCCCCAAAAAAATAAATTCCGTACTATAATATGTACTATACATGCTTTATTCTATTTGTTTGGATCGAATTTCGTCAAAATACCAGATTTTGTGCATAGCATACGGCTATAGTATGAGTGAAATATTGAAACAATTATACTGACCTCGGGCGTGAAATGAACCCAATATTTGCATTTTGCACCTAAAAGAACCCTTAAATACTAATTTCATACCAATCAAAAAATAAAGAGCCATATAATACAGAAAATGGCACAAGCCCGACGACCGAAAATAAATTAGGCTATGAGATGTAAAATAATAACGTTTGAAGAGTCTTACAAATCTATGTAGAGCAATTGTCTGAAAACAGTAATATAAAAAAGATATATTTTTTTTCTCGGCTCCTAGGACGACGCATTTGCAAGAACCTTGAGACGTGGGTACACAATTTTTGAAATAATATCACCAAAAAAATAATTCATTGAAATCGGTGATCCCACGTCCTTAACCTCCCCTTGCTGGCCAATTATGATTTTAATTGATTAGTTTACTTTTGTTTTTACAGTACAATTCCAACAGGCTGTTACCAAAATTAGACCTATGGGTCGTCAAGGAAATCGTTAGAAGCTTAGAATCACTCTCGGTTATACTCTTGGAAATCTCTGAAATCAAATACATTAAAGAATTAAGTACGGGACTAAAGGTAATTATAAGTGAATTTCTTTAGTATATAAAATATGTTTTAGTTGCAGTTTTGAATGAACAGTACATCTTTCTTTTTTTCGAAATATTTGTTTAATTTCATGTATGACATTAACTTTTATTTTCTGCAACCAGTTTTTAACTGGTTTTAAGTAGAGCACTTATAAATTAATCCACCATTATCCTCTAAATAAGTCTTTAATTTTACTACTAGTTGTTAAATAGTGATATGATTAAGTTAAATTTGATTAATTTTAATAAATATGTTTGAAGAAAGTTATAGATTTTGTTGATCAACATAATATTTTTTTAAATTACAGTAATACATTTTTAATTACATATGATACCGAATTCACATTTTTCGATAATTTCGGATGTTGATAATATAAATAAAATCTTATCGATTGTTGCTGCCCCTACTGTTTCTTCTCAACTCCAAGGAAAACTTTCTTAAGAACTGCTGGTGCAGGAAGATATATTGTATGCATTTAATTCATTTGATAGAGTGCTACCATTGGGTAGTTACTCAGCAAGTGTTTTTCATGTCATTATATACATTATGTTCTAATTTACTAGATGTATTTATTTAATACAGTTGTAAATGTCTTTAAGAAATAAAAAAAAAAAAATTCATTTGGTGAAATGGGTAAACTGATTAGGAAGAGGATTTCCAAGAAGCGAGTTTACGAAGGATTAGCCATTTTGATTTGGAATCAGGAGCAGAAGAGAGGGTTTCGTGAAAGTATTTTGATTTCGCTCTTCTGGGCATTGTTTGTAGCAAGTAACAGAGTACTCTAAACTCCTGATTGTCATCTTAGTCTTGTTCATCTGTTCATCTCATATTTGAACTAATTTGTTTGTAATTTTATCCCATTTTCAGAAATTTCCGATGAAATTTACCCTTTTCACTTATATTCCATATCATTTTCGTCTATATTCGACATATATTCACGTTTTACATCAGTTTTCGCCACTTACATCACTTTCTTAGAAAATTGAATACGATATTTATCCCATATGTAAACCTATTTTTTGGATTGCTACCCCATTTCCAACAACTGGCAATACGATTTCTCAGTTTTATCCAAAATTCTTATAATTTTCATCTAAATATAACATATATTTACAGTTTACTTTACAATTTTAAGTATTTTTGCCTTATTTAGTTAAGTTACATAGTATATTTATCATAAAATTGAACCTATTTTTTGTATTATTTACCCCATTCCCAATTTTACCCAAAACAATTTTCGATAAGATTTACCATTTTTACATATATTCCTTATACTTTTCGTCTAAATTTAGTCTATTTAACATCAGACATGGCAATTCACACAATATTTCAATCTCAATCTATCAATTTTTAATAAATTCACGCTTTACGTAGCAGTTTTAAACCATTTACATCACATATGCAGCATCTATCGAAAGTTTGTTAGTTATAACATTTTTTTCTATATCCCTGTATAACAGGCTCCTTTTGTATGATGAACAGAAACTGGTTTATTATCAGAGTTGTTTCCGGCCCAGTAGGTCTACTATTGATCAAATCTTTGAGAAAATGAATGAGTATCAGCAGACATCTAGGATGCTGTTCATTGATTTTCGTGCTGCCTACGATAGAATTGTAAGGAGTGAACTCTTATTAACCACACTTAAACTAGGGCTGCCTAGTAAACTAATTCGATTAATAAAATGCACAATGGTCACCAGTGCCTCTTGTAGTGGAAGGTGGCATAAGACAGAGAGAACCAATAGCTTCTCTCCTGTTTAACATCGCATTACAAGCAATCATAAATAGAGCAGGATTAAATCAGGAAGGAACAATATTTACGAAAATAATCCAAGTCCTGGCATATGAAGATGACGTCGGTATCATCGTTAGATCCCTTCGGAGCATTAAGATTGCTTTCGAAGCGATGGATGTCGAAGCATAAAAGATCGGATTGCATATTAATGGGGAGGAAACGAAGATTATTGTGTTGGATATGAAGTCACTGGATCAGAGGCAAAGTAGCTTTGGTTATCAATTGCATAGGCTATATTTATTATTTATTTTTATATTGTATATTTTATATTTATTGTTTCTTGTTATATTTATTATTATATTTTATAGGTTATACCTATCCTTTTTTTTTTTTTTTTTTTTGTAATATATACAAAAATGAATCAGTTCAAATGTAACCTTTTTGGAAATTCTTATGAGTATTTTAAGAGTCTTCGGAGACATGAAAAATCTTGTAATTGTAATTCGGCATATACTTTTTTTTTCAAACAATTATAACGGTAAGAAGCATGAAGTGTTAACTCTAGTTCCAGTTGAGCTGGGAATTAATAGGTTTGAAACAGTTTTTCAAAACAGATTAGCGTCATTCTTTATTAGATCATCTGATTGGATGGATATTAACTTATTTTTTTAAAGTATCAAGAAGCTCTTAGCGGATAAAATTCGAGATTTATTAAATTAACGTAAGGCATTAAAACTGAATTTTCTATTGGGATGTACTTTTACAAAGTCTATTGGTGATAAGACTGGTAGAGCATTCAAAATACGAAACAAAGGGATATTTAAAAATAGTGATCTTGGCAAATTTATGAAGATTATAACCGAATCTTTTTTTAAATAATTTAAATCTTTTTATTGAAATAATAATAATACAATCTGCCACAATCAAGGGTATTTGTGCATTAAAGCTCTATGTGTAAGTAAAAAATATATACAATAGATAATAACAAAAATATAAGATACTTGTAAGAATAAAAAGAAAAAAAAATTACTTGTCACACTCATTCCTGTATACAATATTTACATTCATCCTAGGGAACCCTGAACCATGCTTTGCCGCTCTAATGTAAGAGGCAAAGCAGGATTTAAAGAGATTCCTTCTCTCCAAGTCGCATCTCTGTTTGAAATAACTGAATATAGAGTCCTAGTTCTTTACCAGATTTCATCAACGTTGTTGTATTTAGTTTAATTATTTACATATCTTCGCTTAACAGTACCAAATCATCAGCATAACCAGGCACGGATATTGTTCCACCTAGGTTCAAACCATTTTCGGTCTGTATCACTTCTCTAATGGCATGTTCTAATGCCAAATCAAATAGGACAGGTGAAAGAGAATCACCTTGTTTTAAGCCCGAAAGAACCTCAAATTTCTCGGTATGTTGAAGCAAATAGTAAATATATGAGTACCCTCAATTCAAACGAACAATATACTTACATAATTTAATTAGATGCAAACAATCTTTATGGCGAATTACTAGCAGATCCAGCCGGGTGGCGCGCCCCCCCCCCTCCTGGAGGCTGGAAAAAATTCCAAAAAACAGCATTTAAAGACAAGAGAAATATAGGGAAAATACATCCTCTTAAACGAATTTCGAAAAAAATTATTATCGTGGCCAGCACTAGCTTATTCTACCAGAGAGCGCGCTCTCCCTTGAATGGTAGAAAAAAATCCAAAAAAAACAACTGTTTAAAGAAAAGAGAAATATAGGGAAATTTCATCCTCATATACGAATTTCCTAATGTAATATAAAAAAAAATTATTATCGTGACCAGCACTAGTAAATTCTGGCAGGAGGCGCACCTTCCCTTGGATGGTGGGAAAATCCGAAAACAAAACGGATTTTCTTCCGGACGCAGTTTTTACTCAGTTTCAATAGATTTGGACGCATTGCAACCTTCAGCAACTATAGTCTCCTTGAAGAATCCTTGCGATTCATAAAACTGGTCACGATAATAATTTGTATATTTCTCATTAGAAATTGCTGTTCTTTTATTAAAATAGCTGCTGTTGGAAACGTTTTCATGAAGGAATGTTCTAATGAAGGAATGCTAAGGAATGCTGGTTACTAACTCAATTAACTGGATCAAAGTGCAGCGAGGAGTACCCCAAGGCGGACCCTTGTCGCCTTCACTGTTCAACCTGGCTATAGACCATCTATACCGCGACCTGTGTGAGCAAGAATTTTCCAAGCATTATGGATATAAGTTAACCAGCGACCAAGAATGTGTGGTCCTCACAGGCTTCGCGGATGACCATGCTGTTTCAGCACGCGACAAGGGTTCTGCAGAAAGGATAAATAACTGTGTACAGAGGATCTTCGCCGAGATTGGTCTGGGTATAAATCCGAAGAAAAGCGTGAATGGAGAAGTCATTTATACATCAAAGGCAGATGATACTATAAAATATTTAGGATGCACGTTCTCGAGAGAGCTAGTGATAAATGATGAAAAGTTAAAAAAAATTAACGTCAACTTGGGTAAACTGGTGAGCTCTTGCCATCTTAAACCGGAGCAAAAGACCAATGTTGTTAAGCATTATGTGTTCCCGGGACTTACCTACTCTCTCCAGACGGCGCTCCTTACAACGACATGTCCTGCGTTATTGGAGGGGATTGATGTAAATATCCGCAGGAGTGTCAAGACGATCATAGGGCTCCCCGCTAATACATCATCGGTGATGTTATATGCACCAAGGAGGTATTGAGGTTTGGGACTGATGCGCTGTCAATGGGAGGCTCCTTTGCAGCATTGGTCCATTGCCCAGCGACTGTCCAGTGTACCGGATACCCTGTTCCAGTCTATATTTGATTATAACGCAGAAATAGCCGAATATGCGGAGAGAGTGGGCGTTGATCAGGGCTACCGAAGTATGAGAGCTCTACAACAATTGCTGAGTGAGAATTCTTTTGAAGAATGGGGCACTTGCAAGTGGCAAGGTGTTGGAGTTAGGCATTTCAAAGAGACTCCGAAAGATAATAAATATATATGCCAGAAGCAAGTTCTTTCGGGGTCAGAATGGTCCAACGCCTTGAAACTTAACATCAACTATGCACCGTTGCGTGGAGTCCCAGGAGCCAGTGAACAGTCGAAGGAAATTGGTTCCCTCTGTCGCAAATGCGGCAGAGAGTCTGAAACACCAGCCCATGTGCTGGGAAAATGCCCCAACAACTCCCTCCTCATAACACGCCGGCACCATAGGGTAAAATTCGAATTTATGAGGCTCCTTAGGAAAGGGAATTCACATGCTTCGACGAGGTCTATTGTATTGATAGTGATGGATCAACAAGATACGCGGATATAGTTGCATTCTTCAGGACCGGAAAGGCAGCACTGGTCTTGGATCCAACTGTTCGCTATGAGAGCAATGACCTCGATCAAGCCAATGAAGTAGAAAGAGAAAAGAAGGAAATCTACGAGAAATGCATCCCTTTCCTAAAAGAGAAATTCCGCGAGACCTTCGGAGAGAGAGAGTTCACAGTGAGAGGCCTCTGGTTTGGGTCTCGCGGAATGATTCCTAAAAGAACAGAGAGCTTCTTCGAGGAACTAGGTGTTGATGTCGGAGAGCTTGCAGTGTTGGCCGAGGGTATTATTCTGGACTCCCTTGGGATCATTCATCTTCACATATATTAGGGTGATTAGGGTCATATATTATGTAATTAGGGGTTTATTATCGTTATTTATTCAATTTTAAATGATTTAAGTGACCATATCTTTTTGTCTATGTATATAGTCCTATGTTACTTGTTCTAATTTTATGGTTTTAAAACTTTGCCATTCGAATACCATATATATTATTTTTGGCCCTATAAATTTCAGAAATTGTCTATATTGTATAATTGTAATTGTGTGTATTAGTATATTATAGTATTGATATTGTTTATGCTGTGTGTAATATGAAAAAGAATTTATATATATATATATATATATATATATATATATATATATATATATATATATATATATATATATATAAACATATGATTAAGTATAATTAAGTGCTATGTCCAAAAAAAAAAAAAAGGATTGATGAGTATGCTGTGTATCGAGCAACACTATATAGTAGGACAGCACTGCTTTAAATAAAGTATTTCTCTCTTGGTCTCCGAGTTGATCGGAATCTGATTATAATGAGAATCGGAAATTATTCTGAGTTTTTTTTTGTTTTTTTTTTTTTAGAGAGGACTCATTTCCTAGCTGCAGGTTCATTTATAGTAAACTTTCTCAGATTTTGACAATATCGGTAAAAAGTAGAGTTCATTGAACGTGGTCATCGACCATATCACTTCATCAAATTATTAAGTTTAGGTACTCGTTCGACGCACAATTTTACGTTTTTTAATTTCTTAAAAAATACTTTTTTCTCTTTGATGCACTGTTTAGTAGTAATACATGAAAAAGAAGACCAGATAAATCTGGAATTTTTGGTTGTAAAAAGTTTTCTCTTGGTGACCCATATTAGCTATTTTTTTTTTTTTTTTTTTTTTTTTTTTGGTTTATTGATAAATATTACAATCTGTCTCAATAAAGGACAGTGCAGGAAAGTAGTGAATTAAAGTTTTATGCTTTTTTTTTACGTGTCACGTTTTTTGTTTAATAGGAAGTGATAATAAAAAACTATTTAATTTAAGTAATTATTGATAGCTTCACTGTAAACTATACAAAATTTGCTTTAAATAATAATAGAATTTTATTTTGTTTAAAGAGGACTTTTGAGAGGTTAAAAGGAGTAGAGGAAGATGGGTAATGGTGGGGGAACGGGTAGGGGTAGGGGAATCACGTGGTACAGAGGTGCCCCCTCCCCCTGAGAAAATTCCTGAATCCGCCACTGTGGCCAATAAATGAGTATATATGCACCGTATGGAGTATTTGTGTGGGTTAAAAATCCAGAATCTATAATCATCTTCAATCTTGAGGACGAAGATGAAGTCGCTATTTTCAAAATTAACATTAGCTATCCTCCTGAACTGCATCATATTTATAACGATTTTCCCTTTTTACCTGAATCAATCGTACCACTGCAAGCCAATTGAAATTCAAAAAAGCTAATAACACATTTCGGAAAAAGATATCGCTATGTCCTACATTATAAAAATTTGATATTGGCCTAAAAACATGGATTAAAATTAGAAAAAAATCATCGTGCTTTAAAATTTAACCAATCTCGATGGCTTCGCTCGTAAATAGAATACAATATCAGAGTTGAGATATTCTGTGGGTCACTGAGAATCAGCATTTGGCCTAATGTTTTCATAATTGGTCCTTTATTAAAGCTGGATATTTATAAAATAATAAAACATGAAAAAATATTTTAAAAATAATTGGATTAGGCAATAAAAACACCAGTAAAGTAAACTTTTTTAACAAAAAATTTTCCAGTTGAAAACCAAGCGTCGTTTGTAATTAAACGGCTAGCATGAAAACTCTGGATCATGTATTTCTCTTTCTAAAACACTGATTACTTTTTAAAATATTTGAAGTAGTTCCGTATAAAATGCACTTAAGCGGCAGAAAACCGGTACTGGCATAGGTGCTTCCAGGCCTCTTCCACACCATTCAGTACTTATAAATGGCTTAGTCATTGTTCTATAATAACGTTTTTGGTACATTATAATATTGATTGTATTAATGAACCAATAATAATGTAATAATTTAATTGTTCAAAAAAATTAAACAGTTTCTTTTTTAATATATTATTTTTTAAAATTTAACTTCCTGTATGATATACGGAGGTCGTTTAAGAAGGTCTCTGGTTTAAAAATGATATAATCACAATAATCAAACATAATTCAAAAATACTTCACTGAATATCTTGATTTTTTTATTTAACGTTTGCAATTTAACACCTTGTTTTGTTAATTTACCGATTCTAAGAGGTAATTTAAATTGTTTATACTTCTCCGAAATGAATCGTATTAATACTTGTTTTATAAACTAAAATATATACCTAATCTGAACTACATATAATAAATAGTTGCCGGGTTGTTTAGTAAACGTAATATATCACTAATAAAAAATTAATAAAATTTACTAATCCTCTGTTCGACCTCGATGCTTAAGGCAATCCTAAATTCGACATTTAGAATGTCTTATTCGTTTAGTTCTAAATAACTTCAATTCTAACTTTTACCTTAGAGATAATGAGATGCCGGCATTTTGTGAATGCCGGAGCAAAAAATTACCAGACATGTTAAATAAAGTCTAAGATACCTTGAATCCATTCCTCAAAACACCCAGCAGCTTCTGTTATCCTCTCTTATTTTCCCTTTGATCAAAACTTATTCCTTCACCTAATTCATAATCAAACTACCGCACTAATATTAACAATTCTGTTTTATGCCTTCCAACTTTTAAAGTTAGTTTCCAACTGAGTTGTATTTTTTATTTTAATAAGTTAACTATTTCAACGGTACTTGAGCTAATGTTAGCTTAAAAAGATTTATTTTTCAAAAAATACATACAATTTAAGTTATTTAAAATAATTGCCAAATACTTTTTGTAGATCGTTTTTCGAGTGCAAAATGGTAGTAAATATTCTGGTATTTATGATAAGATAATTATCCATAAAAACAGAGTTCCGATGACTGATAATATGGATCTAGAGAAAGCTGACGTGAAAGTTAGTAAGAGGTAAGTCACATTCAAATTTAAATATATAAAATTAGAACTATTAATACTTATTTCCTTTTATGCTGTTCTTTTTTTTTTTTTTTCTTTTTTTTGCGTTATGGTGAAAAATTTTCTTAAATTAAAAGCTGATTCATTATATTTATTTATATTTTATCTCGTTCTAGTTTTTCATATTACTTTTAAAATACTTTATGAGTTTAAAAATAGAAAATTGTATCCATGCACTCGGCTTGGTAATCACTAATTATTTTATATCTCTCATATGACTGGTGAAAACCACGAATGTTCTCAAAAATTGTAATATTCATTACCATGATTTTGTAATATTCGTTATGTACGTCTTACAACAATAGTTGTTAGTTAAAACAATACGTGGTGAAGAGTAAGCAACATCCAATAAATATTAAATTTACCACTAAAACCCTATGGAAACCTTTTGTAATGTATAAAACAAAATATTAAGTAAATATATTACATCATTATTATATACCATATGTAATATTATCTGTTCTTTATTTCAATGTAAATTTAAAAGTTAAAAAATAAAACCTTAGGTCAGGTCGTGCCTCATCGGACCCCAGGCCACGTGGCTGCAGCTCTGGCTGTTTCCCACCCTTTCTCTTGTAAAGCGACCCTTACACGATCATTCTTGAATGAACGTCACAAGAATGGCCAAGATTGCTCGGGATCGCTTTGATCATGAAGACTCTTACACGTTCAATCATTACTTATCATTGCTGACGCCAATTTAGCTCAGTTGTAAACAAAGAAACAGCATAGACAGCCCTATTTGGACATTGTCCTTTATAGTATTGGTCATAAAGAGAAAATCGGAGATATAATAATTACTTCTCATTGCCTGAAAGTCGTTTAGACTAAAGTTAGAAAAATAAAAGTCAACCACTTACAAAAATTTAGGAAAAGTATTGTATTGTAAATAATCAATTTGTTAAGAAAAATGGAAAAATTAATGACAAATAAACACTCAGCAGTTTAAGATTTTTTTTTCTAAATTTTGAAGATTCCACTTCTTTTTTTTTTCAATTTATTGCCCAATTGACTATTTAAACAAAAAAAAATAGTTGAAAATGGTTTATAAAAATAAAAACTAGGGATATACACAACTATTTACTTTTATGAAATTATTTACTTAAAAATGAGACCTAGGTGAACTAACCTATCTAGTAGTAAGGTTAGTCTCATAGAAAATCGTTTTGACAGAAGTTAGTCAAATATAAGTCTACTACTTACAAAAATTAAGGAAAGGTATTGTGAAAATAATAAATTTGTTGAGGAAAATAGGAAAAGAACTGACAAATATAAACAACAGTTAAAGAGTAATTTTTTTCTGTAAGTAAATTGTAAAGTTTCCAATTTTTTTTTTAATTTGTTGCCCACTTGACTATTTAAGAGAAATAGTTGAAGATGGTTTATAAAATATAAACAAGGGATATGAAAAACTATTTAACTATATACTTTTAAAGAAAATCAGGAACTTAAAATGGTTGTGAGGCCAAGATAAACTAACCTATCCAGTCTCCCCACTACTTTTGCCTCAGTCCTCCCTCCATTTCTCGTGAATGAACCTTTGATTTCCGGATGATCGGAAATCCGCCAGACACCTCCATGAGTTCTTCATTCACTACCTTACACGATAATTCGCAACGTCATTAGTGCCTCGGAGTGCAATTCCGAATGACCGTGTAGAGACCCCTTAAGGCTTACACACACGTGTAGTGAGTGACAAGTGATAGATGTGTATTATTCTCAAAAAAGCGATTCTCATTTCAAGTCCGTACACGAATTCTCAAGTAATCATCAAGGAAGCGTCCGTATTGTTAATAATTCGCTTTCAACGGTCCCTTAAATCAACTTTTACTATTACTACAAGCTTTAATTTTGTTTATCACAATTGTTGCAATATTGGACCTTACTCTTTAATTATTTTGAATTTTTATAACAATATTTAATAGTCTATAACAACTAACGGTTCTTTTTCACAAATTCTTCTCGTATCTTATCTAGTTTCTCTCTCTCTCATTTTGAGATAGATAGATTTATTTGAATTATTTTAATAAGCTTTATCAGCCATGGGTAGAAGTATATCATTGCTGATGACTTTATTACGACTAGTCTGCTGTCTTTTTGACTTACAAAAAAACTATACTGCGTATCAAAATAAACCACTCACTCAATGTTTCAGATCACGAAAACTAATTGTGAATGAAGCTTATCGAAGCACTAATAAAAATATTTGGGCCTTTGGAAGTGTAGCCAATGGACACCCTGAAGATCCTAGGTTTGAGATCTTAGCAGCAAGAAGCGTGGTTGATGTGAGTATAGAGCTTAACATTTTAACATATCATTGGATAGTTATCTTAGAATCGAAAACAAAGATACACCATTCATGAGATATTGTTTATGAATGAATGATTTTCATAATTTATTTTACTTTTCCTTTGAAAGTTCACTATCAGAGATTTCACGAGGTGGAATTAAAAACAGAAAAAAGTAAACATATGATTTAAGATGGAGTCGATAAAAGATGTACTTAATAATGTATCTCACAAAAAAAATTGAATATGCATACTTAAGCTTAGTACATTAATTTGTTAATGTAATATATATTCTGTCATGTGTGAATCAATAAGTAGCCATAACTTTTATTCCTTTTTTTTTTTTTTTTTTTAGTTTATCATCAATGGAGTCGACGACGTATCAGTTCCTATCGTTTTTCCATTTATTTTAATGGCTCCTTTAGAATATGCCTGCTGTGGAGAAACCGAGAAGTCGGCACTGCTTCGATTTACAGATGAAATAATAGTAAACGACTCTCAAAACTACTTTTTTCATATTAAATTAATATGCGTCAGACATCGTGTATCCTCTTCAGAAGTAGAAATCAGAAAAGAGGTAATAAATATTAACCTTATTAAATAACAGAAAATTATATTTTTAATTGATAGAATGTTTATAAATATGTTAAGGTAATGTATTCGTAAACTCAAAATTAATCAATGGGGAAGTCTGCAAAATCAGTACTGAATTATTATTCCTTCTGCTGAACTTTCTGAGAAATTAGCATTCATTGTAATAAAAAAAACTCGCAGAGTGTAGTTAATGGGTACAAGAGATTTTGCTATCCGCTTAAGACATTACTCCATCCCATTAATATTGAGGTTGTGTAATCAAGTTTTTTGCTCCATGAATTGTAAATCTTTAAATACCTGATGCTATGAAAGTTTATCAAGTAAGTAGAAAAAAAAACAAACTAGGAGCTCAAAGATCTATTCAGAAAACCAAACATTGTTCAGTTTATAAGGCTTAGTAGATTGTGATAGGCTGGACACGAAACTCGGATAGCTAAGAATCAGTGTCGTAGATAACGTCAATGTAATTCAGAAACATTATAACAAAATGAAGAAAAATAAATAAACTGGTAGAAAAAAACAATGAAAAGCTACTGGCCTTAAGAAACATATTGATTCATTTAATTTTGATAATTGTTTTACAAAGCAGAGTTTTAGAAAGGTTTCAAATTACATACAAATCTCTAATAATGAATCCTTGTATTTTGTTTTTAAACTTATTTATTGAAAAATATTACAATCTGTCTCAAGGACATTTATAATAGTGTTCAGAGATCCCATTCACACTCTATGTACAATAAATAAAATAAATTTTACAGAAAAATAACATATATACAATAAATAAGAATAAAGTAACATAAAAATAAATAAATAAAAAGTACACATACATACCTATATACAATATTTACAATCTGGCGAGAGAACTCCTAACCAGACTTGTCCCTTCAACTGTGGAGGAAAAAGCATGACTCCATGAGATCACTGCACTGCTCTCTCAACAGTGTCACTGGGGCTAAACCCAGTGGAGATTGAGCAAGAGTGCTTTAGCCACATACACTCATGTCGTGAATGGAGAATTTGGCCATTGCCAAAACTCCAATATTTACAAACTATAAAAGGTCGCGGGGCCACTGCCGTTTTAACCTCCTTGGAAGATTATAGAGATGGGTGTTGCTGGATAAGGATTGTGCAAGGGGATTTGGATGATAGGTAAGGTTCTGGTTAAATTTGGAGAATTTTGCTGGGATAAGGTCTAGGACAAATGGGATATTAATATCATGGTGTAGGGTTTTGTTGGTTACATAGAAAGGAGCATCGACTATTGTTTGAAGGACTTTGGATTGGAAGGATTGGATGCTTTAGAAAATTAGAAAATTTTGCTGTTCCTCATAGTTCATGTCCGTAAGTCCAAGTAGGTTTCAGTGTTGTCTTGTAGATAAGTATTTTATCTTCAATAGAGAGTTTAGATTTTCTATCTAGTAGTATGTATAGTTGACCGTATCGTTGGTTAAGTTTCTGCCTTTTAAGTCTAGCATGAGGGTTCCGCGTTAGTCGTCTGTCTAAGAGCAAGCCAATGTGCCGGACTGTGTGTGAGAAAGGAAGCTGGATGGAATAAAAGGGTACTGGTGGACAGGAACTGCGTCGGAGTGTGAAGGTGATGTGTTGGCATTTGGATTCATTTACTTTAATACGCCATTTATTACACCAATGCTCAATCAGGGAGAGGTGTCTTTGAAGGTTTAAGGTTGCTATATCAGGATCTGAGTCGGATGATAGAATGGCGGTGCCATCAGCAGAAGTTGCCAGGAAGGTATCGGGATGGACAGAAATATCGGCGGTTAAGAGGATGTAAAGGACGTGACCCAATACGCTACCTTGAGGAACACCAGCCTCAATTGGATAGCAATTTGAAAATTCAGCCGCACTCGGAAGGTACGATCTGACAGGTATGAGCGGAGTACAAGGTCTAAGGACTGAATAAGATGGGTTTTAAGTTTGAAAAGAAGCTGGGCGTGCCATACCCGGTCAAAAGCTTGAGCTATGTCCAGAAATGCACCCTAGTCCTTGTGGGACTGTGGAGTGTTGGGAACGGAATCCGAACTGGTGTCAAGGAAGATTTTGAGATTCTATAAAGGGTAAGATTCTTTTCAGGAGGATCTTTTCAAGGATTTTTGAAAGGATTGGAAGTAGGCTAATGGGTCTGTAGGAAGCTAAGCTGTTGGGAGGTTTGCCTGATTTTTGGAATTGGATAATAGTAGAATGTTTCCATAAAAGAGGAAAGTGGGTGGTTTGTATTATTCTATTGTATATGTATGTAAGGAATATGACAGCTTTAGGAGGGAGTTGTCTAAGGATCTGAGAGGTAACGAGGTCGTATCCAGGTGATTTGCGGGTAGGTAGTTTTTGTAAGTGTTATTTGACCTCAGAAGCATTAATTGCTTTAGGCGGTTAGGAGAGTGGGCTGGGTGTTCGTCTTCATCAGACGCTGCCCAAGAGCCATCACCTCGAAGGAGAGGATGTGATATATGATTGGGTTTTAGGGTTTGTTTAGTGATCTTCCATAGGGAATTGTCATAAGAAGAGAGGGAAGTAAGGTAGGAGTGAAAGGATTAAGATCTGAAGATGGCCAATTCTAGCTTTAATTTTTTGCAAAAATTAAAAAAAATGGTTAGGATCTGTGGGCCAGTAGGTAGGTGAGTTAGGAGTAAGGATACTGAATCTTTGGGAATTGAATGCAGATAACAATGTTCTTCCACGAGAATTCGTGGTCCTAGAACCCCATTGATGATGTTTGGCGTTTAAATCTCCACCCAGTATGAAGTGATGTCGTAAGGAGTTGAGAAGAGAACTGAACTGGATATTGGATATGGATCTGTTAGGAGGGCAATATGCTGATGCTATGGTGACGGGAAAGGAAAAGGTTTTGATTACGATAGCGGTGGATTGTAGGAAATCTTGTGTCGGTGATGGGAGCTGGTGATGAGAAAGGGAGTGGTGTACATTAACAGCAGTACCGGCATGTGCTTTACCGTCAGGATGGTCAGTACGGTATTTTATGTATTGAGTTATTTTTAAATGCTGTTTCTGGTTTCCTGCTGTTTTCTGTTCAGTCGTGTTTTCGTAGTTAGTGCTACGTCGATGTTCGTGTCCGGTAATAAAGTTGTTAGTTCGTCAACGTGATTTATAACACCATTTGCATTACAAAGGAGAATGGATATGGGTTTTGGGATGTGAGTCATTAAGGATTTTTTAAAGGAGGGATGAGGTGAGATACGAGATTTGTGAGGAGTGATATGAGTGGAGTAACTAAGGATTTGAAATTGGTGAGGAAAGATGCCAACAAACTGGTGAGATCTGTTACATTTGAAGGAGGAGGGATATGATGAATTTGTTGTAGATGGTTATAGGTATATTCGGATTTGTTGTTGCAGCAGGGCTTGACAGTTATCGCTTGAGTTCTTACCTCTAAGTAGCTGGGAAAATGATACATTATTGTATACTATTCTAGAAGGCTCTATCTCTCTTCTTGGTCTTCATGCTTCATCTTGAATCCGGTTTTTCTGGTTTCTGGATTTGAGATTCTTGCAAATATGGCATCCTTTGTAACTGGCCGTGTGTCACTCCAGGCACAGTGCACACACTGCAGGATCCTGTATCGGTTTGGTGCACTCCACAGATTTGTGCTGTTCACCGCATTCCACGTAACACGGCTGATGCCCTTGTATTAAATAAATCCAAAGAAATATAAAAGTCAACCCTTCTATCGACGAAATCTGAAATGTTTCTAATACTCTATGCGAGATTGCACTAATTCAATCACTTTTTATCGGAAAAAAACCCACATTATAATAATGGTCCCTTATATATATATATATATATATATATATATATATATATATATATATATATATATATATATATATATATATATATAAACGAAAACTTGATGCATGATTGCGCAATCTTGAATTAGATATTATTTTCATGATAATCGCACCGACAAGATTATAGTTGACCCTCGTATAAAAAAAAATCGAAAAGTAAAAAATAAATTATGCGCATTTCCGCAGTCTTAAATCCGATAATAATTTCATATAAATGGCATCGAAAACATAATATATTAAGGAGATCCAAAAAGTTACAAAACCTTGACGCACAAGTGCACACTCTTCAATACAACAGTACTTTTCATAAAAATCGCCCGTGGCAGCATTATACTGGACCGTTATACCGTTTAATCCCGAAAAGTTACAAAAACTTGATGCCCGATTTTAAATCCAACTTCAAATTTATTTTTGGAATGAATAAAGCTGGAAGAAATGATTTCTCAGTGAATAGTTTTTTATTCAGTGGTTATTTCCTTAGAATAAATTCTTATTCAGAGAATATTTTTATTGAATATTTTATATATATATATATATATATATATATATATATATATATATATATATATATATATATATATATATATATATATATATATATAAGTTAAATTTCAGTGGATTAAACTATTGTAAATTGTCAGTTGACTAAGTATTCAATGAATCCAAGAAACAACTTTACTTTATTCAAACACGACAAAGATAATAATGAATGATAACATTAAATCTAACATGTGGTGTCATTATTGTCTATTAGATTAACTATAAGTCTATATAAGTTTAATACTTCTACGAATAAATCAGAACTTGGTACATTCAATTTTTTGAAACTAGAAAATCTATTAGTTTTAAGAGTAAATTCAATCTCTACGTTTTTAAAAAAATATGAATCCAACGTGACTGTTGGTTGCGTAAATGACGCAATTGGTTGCGTAAATGAATTATTTGCTTTAGAATTTTTCTCTCCAATTTGGAAACAGCCGCGGTGATTCGAGGAGCCAAAAAGTGGATCTCTACCGAGAGCCAAGTGATGGAGAAGTTCCGCTTTGGCTAATAGAAATCACGTGATTTGTATAGTGAGGGCTGAGTGTTTGTTGTCGTTAAGTATGTTATTGTTTAATAGTCTATGTGGGATGTAATATTGTACCAGTATTGCGACGCC